AGATTACTGATGATGGAATTTTGAAGAATCTGAATCATTTAATAAATGCTTCCTATTATTACTTTCATGTTTTGCTTTATCATTAAGTATACTTCTATCACACAAAAAAAAACGAGATTTTTAAAATTACAGATAGTATAGCCAACGAAAATAAACTACTTAAAAGAAAACTCACTTGTCAAAAAGTGTTGTGTCTTTTGTAGTGAGCAGTTGTTGCAGTAGTTTCTGAAACCCCATTTCCCTAAGTTTGGCTTGTCTTTCTAGAGCACCTATAATAATCCAAAATTCAACCATAAAAGTCCGTTTTCCTAAGTTTGGTTTATATGCATATATAAGTAGATATTAGAATGAATACGTAAAAGTGATAAAAACAAAGATCACTATGTCACACTTGATCAATTCTTATTGGTTGATATACATATATATATAAGTAAAACAATGATGATAGGTCAATGGATCACACTGTATACCAATACTGAATTGTTTATATAAAGAAATTGTATCATAGAATGAATAAGTGAAACAGCGATTAAAGATAACTATGTCACATTGTATATTAATACTGAATTGTTTATATATATATATATATAGTTGTAAGTACACAAATCAAGTTATAAAATTTAAAATACATATAAAGAAACAATTAACTGCTCAGCATTACTGACATATTTTATACATGAACCTTAAAATGTGGTGAAGAAAACAGTTTAAAATTTGAATGGTTTATACTGAAAAACTAAACTGAAGATATTAAATATGAAGATACTGTAAACACAGATATAAGCATGAACTGTTTTATTTTGCATTTATACAATTCTGAAACAATTTCTGGGTGATAAATGATCTAATTTTAATCTGGAACAAATATTTTGAATTTGAATTAACATAGTTGTTTGGTTTAATTATAAAATACAGATTGGTTAGATTTTGTACAGAAATATAAACTGATTAGTATTGGATCTAATTCATACTATAATGACAACTTTAAAATTTAAAACAAATAAACTTTTATTAATTTTTCATTTTAGTAAAGCAAAATAGTTAAATTGTAAAAACAATGTTTGACAGTTTACTGTAATAAATCTCCAATATTTAAAAACTGTGGACCAAGTTGTGGACAGAGTAAAATAAAACTGAACAGACTTCTTAAAAAACAGAAAAGTACAAACATATAAAACTAATTCTTGTTGAAATAAGGCTTAGAGCTACAAAATTTGCTTTCATATCCTCTTTTTGTCATGTAATCCTTTCAGTTGGTTGTCTTTACATGAGAGTTTATTTGACATTTCCTTGTTCATTTTCATTTCAATCCAATCTAGCAACTTTTCAATGAATGAATCAATACACGTGTGTGTGTATATATACAGACATATATAAAAGTTTTTTGTTTTAAAACATTGATTAGCTAGCTTACCATCTTCTTCACTCCAGATGAGATTAGACACACAGAAAGTTGCAGCAATTTGCAGCTTCACATTGGAATGTTTCTAACAGAAAATAAACCACGAACACAGTTCAGTTATATATCTCTAATGTAAATGAAATAATAAAAAAATTTGGGTAAAAGTCATCATGTTAAAATATAATGGAAAAATTACTCAGCTCACAACAATTAAGATATTAGACACGAGATCTGATTACTTAGTGTCCATACATCTGTATCATTAAAAGAAAACAAAGACAGTCAGTAATGTGATAGTATGTGAAGATGAACCATTATTATCTAGGGTTACCACCTTTGATATGCAAAACATCTGGCTCCCTCTCTTGACAAGGCAACTGCAAATATTGCATCATATTAAGTAATTTCATGTTTTTGTCTGTGTAAGGAACTGACCAAAAACTGGATGAAATCAGTAATTTTCTAAATAAAGTATATAGTGATCTCCAGATGTAGTGAGACTAACGACAATTAGGAATCAACAAAGTCATGGATCCACAAGCACTTCAGTGTATTAGTAGTTCAGAAAAATGTGTTTATGAAAACCACTGAGGTCCACTGGTAATTCTAGAGTTAATCTTCATGATATCTAAAACTGGAAATTAGGAAACAACAAAGTCGAAATGAACTTACACCATATTATCCACAAATTAATTAGACTTTATACTGAAATCATAAATAACACTACCACAAAATTATCTTTTAAACTGAGCAGTGTGATACTTCAGTCATTATGTATTAGTCTAAATGTCATCATTACAAGTAGTGGTGTGTAACCATTAAATAATTCAGTTTCTTCCTAGGACATTTTTTACCATGTAACTTGTCAACTCCTTGAGCACATCTTCATTAGACATGATAAAATCCTTGGCAGTGTCTCCATCAGCAATGTTGGCAAGGATGCACAGAGCTTGCTCTTTAATGTCAGCTTTATGGTCTCCCTCCAGAATCATAATGACAGCTTGCATGATCTGCTTCCCATGAAATCCCATGATGTGGTCAATATGCTAGATATACAAAAACTCCTACTTATTCACCATATCTATTCTAGTGGAGACTACGTATATATTAAAAAGAACAAAATATTTTATGCTACTTACACAAACCCAGAGAACATCTTGCCATAGTCTTTCACACAATACTGATACTTATGTGGAGAATGCACTAACTATATTTGTTAATTTTATTTCTTCCTATATTTTTTTTTAATAGCACATACTGTTTTTGGATCATACCTTTTTAATTATACCTTAAGAACAAAAACCCAACCAATTCAAAATACTGAGTTGTTCACAAAAAAGTAAGAATCGTGTGAAAATACCAATTTGTATACTCAGTGTACCTTAATAAAAAAAGCAATTTTTAAGTTCAACATTATACAGATTTCATTAAAGTAACAAACATACCTGAAAAGATCAGCCATAAACCTTAAAGAATATTTGAGAATACATGTAATATAATGAAATAAATGCCATACACAAAAATGTGAGCTGTAACTAATCTATAAAACTTATAAAGTTGTGCACAACTTGTGTGAAACATATTAACACACTTTGATCCTTCCATCCTGGTATTTCTATACTTTTAGGGCAAATAATGTCAAGGTTTAAAACATTCTGAGTGATCTCTACACTCAAATAAATTACAAAATAAAATCATAATGAAACATCCACATATATAATTTAGTTTTGGTATGTACTTTATTGACTTTTGTTTTGTTTAAGATAAATATTTTTTATGATATACAGTTCTATTTTTTTTAAATACAAATATGCACAAACACAAAAATCTTTAGTTTTCAGTTATTAGTTTATTTAATATTATACTATTTTATAACCAAATAACAACATAATTCAGTTAGAAAAACACAACAATACCAATTACCTTGCATTAATAACATGAACATTAGATACATGTTTTGAAATAAAGAGTACAATAATTCCTATAATTAGAATAAAAGTGACAAGTAATTCTTACAGGTTTCAGTGACAAGTAATTCTTGTAGGTTCCATTGATAGAATCAGAATGACAAGTGAATCTTACAGGTTTCATTGACAGAATGTGAGTAACAAGTGAACTTACAGGTTTTATGGAAAGAATGAGAATATCTTACACATTTCATTGACAGAACAAGAGTGACAAGTAAACCTTAAAGGTTTCCTTGACAGAATGAAAAAAGACAAGTTAATCTTACAGGCTTCACTGAGAGGATGAGAGTGAGAAGTGAATCTTACAGGTTTTGTTGAAAGAAGGTTTCTAAGTAGACCAAGAGTTTTCATGAGAATGTTGACATCTGATTCTGAGAGCAGACAGAAAATCTGATCAGTGCCTAAAGTTGCCAGAATCTGAGATTTGATTTTCTCCTCTGCCTGAAAAGCCATGTTCATAAGAGCCCAAACACCATTTAGTTGAAGAGCTGGATCTTCCCTTCTGGTGAGGTTACACAATAACTCCACTGCTCCACACTCCAGAATTCTCTATGAACCAAAACACCAAATACAAAATTAAAAACATAGACTGTAACCAATAAAAACAAATGCAGTTCTATATACAAGAATAGCATAAAACATGCAGGATTTAGGACCAAAATATGTGTGTGTGTGTGACTGAGGAGGGCCAAAAAAAGTCTGATGTAATTATTATGAGTTTTACATATATACTAAGTCCCACAGAATTAAACATCCACTTCAATGCAAATCTGAAGTGATAGTCTTATTTCTAAACTTTATTTGACTCAGTGCTAAAACAAGAATATTACATCACTAAATTAATTAGTTTCTAAGCTTTATTTGACTCAGTGCTAAAACAATAATATTACATCACTAAATTAATTACTTTCTAAGCTTTATTTGACTCAGTGCTAAAACAATAATATTACATCACTAAATTAATTAGTTTCTAAGCTTTATTTGACTCAGTGCTAAAACAAGAATATTACATCACTAAATTAATCAGTTTCTAAGCTTTATTTGACTCAGTGCTAAAAAAATAATATTACATCACTAAATTGATTAGTTTCTAAGCTTTATTTAGGGCCCGGAATGGCCCGGTGGATAAGTCACTCGACTCGCAATCCGAGGGTCGCGGGTTCGTGTCCTTGTCGCACCAAACATGCCCACTTGGGCGTGGGGCTAGCAACTCCACCCCGATAACAATCTGCATTAGAAACTACAACAACACTTCCGTCGGCGAAGTGTTGTTGTAGCCCTATGTTCCACTAGGAACGACAGGAACTAAGAGAGAGAGAAGCTTTATTTGACTCAGTGCTAAAAAAACAATATTACATCACTAAATTCGTTAGTTTTCTGCACATTCATCTATTCAACAATGAACACTAGAAATTACACAGTTCAAAAGTTATATAAAGGAGGAGTGTTCTAAATTTTTCTTATTAACTAAATGTAACATAGGAGAAAATTATAGCTTGTACTAGTCATTTTTAAAGTTGTGTCACTAACTGAAGCTTGAAACAACAAACAAAATTCTCTGCTCGGAGAGAGAACTAACAGAAAATTACAGGCTGTACTATTCAGCGAGTTGAGTCACTAACTGAAACAACAAATAAACCTCTCTGCTTGGACACAGAGATAACAGAGCATTGCAGACTGCACTGGTGGTCAGTTTCCAGGTCATGAAACTAAATGAAGTTTGAGGCAACGAAAAAACCTCTCTGCTTGGAGAGAGAGCTATCAGAAGATTACGGAGTGTACTGGTCAGTTTTCAAAGTTATGTTGCTAGCTGAAACTTAGAACAATAAACAAACTTTTTACTTGTGTAAAACTCTAACTGAAACTAAGAGCAACCAACAAACCTCTTTGCTGGGAGAAAACTCCAACAGAAGGTTACAGAGTGTACTTGAGGCTACAGTAAGAATGTCATCAGATGCATTCTGAAGAAGTTTCATCAGGGGGTGCCATACAGCATGATCCTTGAAGGTTGTCCTAAGCTGTTGAACAGAACGGGAAAGACTATGAAGACATCGAACAGCTGCCAAGCTGACTTGAGAATTTGCATCAGACAGTCCACTAACCAAATGTTCCATTAGAGAATCAGTTTCAATAATCTACATAAATTATAAAAAAAACAACAATGACACAAATGCAAATTGATATACATATAACACAGAAACTCATCACAACAGAAGACCGCTGTACCTTTAGCAACTACTCAAGTGTACTTTAAAAGTTTATTATAATGTCAGTCTTTTTTGTTCAAAGTGAAGCCTAAAGTAATAATAATTATATAACACACAAATATATTAAAATTAACATAATATACTTAAACAGATACCCTATAAATCTAAATATGAAATACCGGCACTTGTGTAATTAAAATTATAATAAATAATTGAAAACTTTTCCTATTTACACAATTTAAAACTTTATTGAAGCCATATGGTTTCCACTTTAAAATGACACTCTACATGTACAAGTAGATCGCATTGTAACTTGAAATGTTAAATTATACCTTTCCCCAATTAAGATGGGAAGCAAGAATATTCAGAAATAACTTTTGTTTTGCAGTTCTTATACTGAGAGTTCATTTTACTGCCATCTAGCAATAAAGAGGGTTGAGTATGTTATATCAAAACATTTATGGAGTCTCACCATATCTTTACAGTCCATGTTGCCACATCTGATAATGCTCTATCTGATGACCATGCATCTTAACAACAGTTCTGCACAGCTTCTATTACAAAAGGCTCCATCATAAGGCTGTCATGTCCAAAGCACACACCCCTCCTCCCTGTTTGCTTTCCCTAATCCATATAGCATACAAGGATGACAGTTTCCAAGCATCAGTTTCGATAGCCTGGTCATACAAAAATCCATAGGTGCTGTGTTCAGCTACTTGACTTGTATGTTGTTGTATGGAATAGCATAAATATACATTACTTTATCCAGATACTGGAGGTATATGATGGTTGAAAGGAGGTACAACAAGAAGCCTTACCTTGGTAAACCCATATCCTGTTGGCCTCATTTCTGTACAAAGCTGGTACTTTTGTGTGGTACAAAGAGTCCAGAAAATTGGTATGATAGTACACAGAGTTAACCTTGATCTTTGTTATACCTTGTATCCATCTTGCTGATCTCCGAATTGCTAATGGCACAGTATCCAGCAATGATCATGAATCCCTTCATAAAAATTTTGCAACATGCCATGTACCATGTACCATTTTTTTCACTTATTGAAAGGTAGAAAATGGCATGAGACTTGTTAAAGTTATGACGTTACACACACACTTTATTCAGTATCTCTGTGAGCTACCATTTTTTCCCCCATTCATACATTTTTCTACAGTTGGTCTTCCTTTCCAAGATATCTTATAGAAGCAACTTGTGTCACTGTTACAAGCAAATATTCTATTTGATTATCTTGCATACTATTGCCTGGGGCATGTGGATGGATTTTGTTACTGATCTTTTGTTTTCCAATGCCATTAAGTATAAAGGGATATCCCGCATCTTGGGAACTCTAAAGCCTTATCTGAACATATCTTTATGATTTAGCTATATGAATATTCTAAGTCAGAAAGGGCTGTTATATACCTTCCTAAAAGCAATCAATTTTTGGAGGCATCACATTATTTAAGAAATGTCAAACAATGCCAAAATGTAGTTCTGATACCTTTCATTCCACCATGATTTTAGTGTTTGAAAATTCAAAATCAATTTAATATAACATATTCAGCTCTCTGTTTTTGATGTTAAATATGAAGACGATTTATTTAATGCTTATATGATGAATAAAATAAAGGATATTTCTTTGACTGATAATGTGTACGCAAGTCAAGATAGTCTGGGAAGCTTTCAGTCCAAGTAATAGTTTCACATATTAAAACCTAACTAAAAATAAAAAAACAAGCCAAAAATTTTGGAATTAAAAATGACAATTTCATTAAACAAATTAAAAAAACAAACCAACATCTCTATAACTGACAGTTGGGTTACTTGGAGGCCAAATTACATTTTACATAGCAAACTGAAAAACAAAACACCTAGTATCTTGCGTAACTAACAGTTGGGTCAAATAGGTTATACTGTGTGTTATAAATCATACTCATACATTACCATATGGACATTTTTTTCAAAAAACAATAATGTTTGTTAAAATACCTTTTCCTTGATTTGTACTAGTAACAAACATAATAAAAAAGAAAAAAAGAAGATGATTAAGATTGCTAAACTTACTTTCTTCCGAATGTCTTCATCATTGGCACCTAGAGATGCAAAAGCTTTGAAAGCACTTTGTTTCAACTCTTGCGACATTCTCAACTCTTGCCCAATCTACAGGAATATTTCAAACTTATAACAGATTTTAGAGTAAAATGTATAAATCTGTATTGACAAATTTTCATTCAAAGTAAGCCATCTTGTTTTATCAAGCTTTATACAAAATTATTTGAATACTTCTAAAATATGATTAAAAGTTTGAGATTAACATAATTTCTTTTAACTCATTATTTGTTCAAGACAAAAAATACAAAGAAGATAGTTTTGTGAAACTTTGTTCTTTGGTTAATTTTTAGCAGTAAATGTTTTTAAAGATAAATTATATAATTGTTCACGTTTTTATCATACAGTGGCATATAGTTTATAAACTCTCTTCATCTTGTCTTCTAACAACAAGTATATTATATTCCACAAAATAAGAACTTGTATAAAAATTTTGCACTTTCATAAAGCAACTATCTAGAACAGAATAAGCGATTATAAATGGAACAACAAAGAAAGGAATAATTTAGTTTTGTGTATTTTAAATTGAGAATCCATAGCTCTAGACTTCCAAAAACCTTTTTTAAAGCATTTTTGTTTTCTGTGGTTTATAAGATTATTTCAAAAAATCCAATATTATTATAAGCATCTCTAAGTATTGAGTTTCATTTCATGGTTGCCAGTTTTTTGTAAGATGGTATTATAACAGTATGACTCATGCCTACATCAGTGGGTGGCTATGTTTTGGTGATCAAATCATTAGTAGTTAAAAGATGTTATGAAAAAACATCTCCACACAACATAAATGCCTAAAGACATTACTTTTTTCATGGTATTAGCCAAAACTGTTCCGGTAGAAAATGCTCCTGAAGAAGGATGTTGAAACTTGAGGAATTCAGCCAGTGTTGGAATCAGATGATCACTGATGCTGGCAACTCGCTGGAGTTCCATGTTCACTTCTGTTAGGTAAGCTAAAGTGTCTGCTCCTTCTGCCCGTTCTTCTGGTGTCATTGTCTTCTTGCACATCCTGACCAGTGTCGGAAGAGTCTACAGAAAGTACAAATCAGTAAAACTAGCTCAAATTTGGTAAATAAGTAAAATCTTGTTAAATTAAACCTTAAAACAAAACTTGACAAAATCAGACGTCTTATAAGCCCACTGTTTCAAGTCAACTACTTGAATACTATGATACTTGGAGAAATAAGTTACTCCCAGAACAAAATACTGTTATTTAAGCTTTCTAATAATAATCATATATAATAGTTGTAAAGTTTACATTAATTCTGTGATTTTACTGGTAAATGTCAAAGAATATAAAATATAATTGACCTTGTATACGATTCTGGAATCTTCAGCAGTGACAGCTCCTGCTCGACAAAGGTAGGTCATGCTATTTTTAGAAAATATACACTTTATGAATTACAAAAGTATCTTATACAATAATAATTGTTTGATCATGAGAACTATCTATGACACAAATATGGTCACTCAAACAAGAAGAAAACTATCTTTTATATAAGTGTCACTTTGTTATTTATTTAAATCAACACTTCAGTAAACTTGATCTCAAATTATTCTACTGGTGGTTTTATACAAGTTCTATTCTTACCATAACAGGTCTTACTAGAGCTCATGTAACACTGTTAAAACAATGTGCCATAATAATAATTGTCCACAACATTAAACTTATGAATCCATATCTTGAAAACAAAATGATTGAATAATTATGCTGTAGATCAAATGATTCATTTTGCTTCTGTTTATCCAAATCTATCTGAAATTATCTAGAATTTTCATACTTGTTATAAATGTAGACAGGTAAGAGCACATCAAAATAAAAAGTGGGGATAAGATTGTGAAAGAACTTGATTCAGCAGAAAGCATATGATGATGTAAAGAGAGATTGTGATTTAAGTGGTTACTCATGATAGATCAGCATTACCTTTGAATACATCTATATATATATATAAAAGAGGAAGTTTGTTTATTTGTTTATTTTGTTTGCTATAGGAAACCAAACGGTTGAACTTACAAATCTTAAAATAACTTTATAATAATCAGTTTTTTACAAGAAATTTAATGGTGCTATTTATTTTGTATTTGGTGTAGTATTTAATGATGAAATTGACAATTAATGATTACTGCGCCATGTTTTTAATAAACATACAAACATAAGCACATACAAAGCATTATGGCGGGAGACACTCAGATCACCTTGCTAGCAATTCAGTATTTCCAAAAACTTTAAACTTTATTTTCTTTAAATAGTGCTAAGTAGTTTCATAAGTGATTTAGTAACTTTGTGAATTGCAAATTATTCTTTAGTGATACAGGT